CCACCACCAACTCTTTCCACTCTCCTCCTCCTCCTCCTACTACTACTACTACTACTCCTACTCCTCCTCCTCCTCCTCCTCCTACTACTACTACTACTACTCCTACTCTTCCTCCTCCTCCTCCTCCTACTACTACTACTACTCTTTCTCCTCCTCCTCCTCCTACTACTACTACTACTCTTTCTCCTCCTACTACTACTCCTCCTACTCTTCCTCCTACTACTACTACTGATCCTGCTCTCCCTCCTTCTCCTCCTCCTCCTAATCCTCCTCCTCTTTCCCACCTGCTCAATCGAGATCGCCTGTCCCAGTCTCGCGTACATGTGACGGAAGTAAAGCTCCTGTTGGCCCAAAGTTACACATTCAGAGACAAGACGGAAACGAAAGAAGTGGGAAAACAAACAAGGCAGGAAATGGGAAAGAAAGGAAAGGAGGAGGAGGAGGAGGAGGAGGAGGAGGAGGAGGAAGGAAGAAAGGAAAGGATCTCAACCTTGTAGAGCATGATGAAGACATCGTCATTCTCCACCAGAGGAGCGACTTGCTCGATCGGGTGGGGCCAGGGCTGCTGCTTGTAGAATCTGCAGTGACGATCAACACGAGTGGGACAGGCAAATGGAGGATCGTCAGACCTGTCCGAGATGCTGCTGAACCTGACCTCGTAGCCTATGAAATGGAGGATATCAGACATCTTCGTTTTCACAGCCACCTTGCCAAGTTTTCTCTGCATTCCTCGTGCTAGTACTCACATTCACGGATGCTGTTCAGCTTCTGCTCACGGACGAGAGGGTCAGGCTTGTAACCGATGATCTCTCCGTACTCGTCCTTCTCTTGTACGTAGACATCTCTGCATATATGAGATCAGGAAACAACAATACAACAACAATTGTCACTACCGACACCATCCACACCAACACCACGATCATCATCATAATCATCGGCTCCAAATTCATCATATCCATCATCATATCCATCATCAAAACTTCATCATCATAACTTCATCATCATAACTTCATCATCATAACTTCATCATCATAACTTGGTCGCTCGACCCCATCGTCCTCTCCTCATTGCAACAGTCAAGTCATTACCGATGAATCAGGTCTTGGAACTCCCTGAGAAAGTCCGCCACATACTGGGGCATGGTGAAGTGCGGGTCGTACTGAGCGGCATAGTCGCTGCCGACTATGATCAGCCGACACAAGCAACATCCTCCCAAGGGAGGAAAAGATCAAACTAAGGGTCGGTATGACTCACTTGTACTCGTCCTCAGGCATGTCATACTCCCCGCCCAGGTAGTGCTGGCGGGATAGATCCTGTTGGGTTCATCAGCACTAGGACCACAGACTTCCTTCCCCTCCTTGCATCTAAACTTCTTCCATCCTCCTCGTCCTCAAGGACTTGACCCACCTTCTAATTCGCCTTTCCCACCTCGTTGCCCGCCCTCCTCCTCCTTATCCTCCTCTCACACGCTCTCCCTCCTTCCTTCTCCTCCTCCTCCTCCTCCTCCTCCTCCTCCTCCT